CGTCTGACAATATCATGATCGTGTTCTATATGTAGAAACTAATTATATATAGTGATCTTAGTGTCATTAATTGGATTGCTTTGTATAACAAAAAAATAATTATAAGCAGAGTTGGATGATGGCCAGTGGTGAAATTCAGAATGTGCGCTTTGTCTTCAATGTGAGTAGTTAGATGGATGTAACTGCATCTCACTGTTAATGCTCACTATGTGACATGAACCCACTACCATTCGCTTTATATGTCATTATGTTATTCACTGAGTTATTGAGTTCAGACAGTTATCTGTATTATAAACCGAGTTAGATGGTGGCTAACCATCAACATGTGTGACATTATTCCTCAATATCGATGTGATCCGTACAGGATGTACATATGTTAAAAGAGACAGATTAATCAAAGTTCTAAACATCAATGAAAAATCCAAACAACAAGCATAAAAATTAAAACATAAATAAGTTTTGAATTCAGTGAACTCTATAAGTTTTATAAACGATCATTTTCCAACAGTTGGGATCACGGGTCAATTGAAGCTAGACCACCATGGAAAAACTGGAAGCACTGGACGGCCGTTTCTTCCTATTGTGAGACTACTCAGCAGTGCGCATCCACGACCTCGCCCCCTGCGAGATTCGAACCCAGAACCTACTGGTGTCTCCCTCGCGAGCACTTAACCACTAGACCACTGAGCTGGCCGGCATTCAACGGTGTTAATGTCTAACTTCAACTAATCCACGAAATTGAGCAACATATCCACTGACTCATGATCTTAACCATTGAAATTACCATAATATCCACAAAACCCATCTGATATTAAATACTATAGTATTCAATGCTTTACAATCAATCAATTTACAATGAATGTTTACATTCAACTAATTTATGCAAATCATTATCGAGATTATCAGATGAAGATTTTGATTAAAATTTTCAATATTCAACATGTAAACAAACAACTTAATTTGGTTTAATCATTTTTACTGCTATCCTTATCTTTTAGATTTAATTGAAAATGAATTATCTAACGACTGATGTATATATATATTTATAACCAAAGATGAATATTTCAAGATTACACTGTATAGTACACATGTGCTATGAACAAGATAATATATCTTTGTTGGGGACGTTAGATCCACAGAACTTACTTGGGAAAGGACCTAATTTTGTAATTTTATTTAGAACATTTGAATTTCTTTGTTTTCGCGCTAAAGGCACTCTTGTCACTTTCATGTCGTATTTCCCACTGGAAAATATCTTAAATACTATTGGTCCGTTGAGTCTTGTAGTATGTTATTTGGTAATTCTCCTCAAGGACTGTTTTGCACTGTATATATACGTTTTGAATTGTGATTTTTGTGACCGCTCGTTTCTGACTGTTTTTCAGAATATACTTCCCATTCCAAGCTTGGACTTCTCTCTCTAGTTAGCGGGGCTGGGACGCATCAATAGCTACCTTACTGGTCTTTGGTCAACGAGTCTTGTTCTCGTTTACCGATTAAGTGAACTCGTGATAGCTTCAAACCTAGCAATCTTGTTTGTCACAACTCCGTGAAATGGAGACAAACCACTGTAGGGTTTGGTTTAACTTATATGAAATAACTTCAATTCTTAAGATCTTAATGATATATTTGAGAATAACAGAAAATCTATATGTATAATATATTGACTGTTTGTAAAATACTCATTTTGTGAATGTATTACTGTAATGTAATATATTTCAATTATCATTTCAGGGTATATATAAACATATATCCTAGGCTTTTATAAAAACATTAATTGTAAATTGTAGTATCGTAGGAAAGCAATAAAAAGTACTCTTAAAAAACAAAATAATCAAGAACAATTTAAACTTTTCATTACACGATAAGTAATGTATACTGTATGCCATTGTAACTATGTTTATCTTTCTAAAATTTTACCGAGTTTTAAATATAATGCTTTTTTCAAGGTAAAATAAAGTGAATTTCAATAACACCTTATATAGATAACAAAATTTTTTCTTGGTTGATATCATAAATCAATTGATGTTAGACCACCATTGAAAACCTAGAACCACTGAACGTCCATTTCGTCTTATTATGGGATTCTTCAGCAGTGAACATCCACGATCTCACTCGTGGGATTCAAACCCAGAACCTTCGGTCTCGCGTGTGAACGCCTAACCTATAGGCCACTTAGCCAGCACGTTAATCTAGAAGTTAAGCGTTTATATTTTGTAGCTGAAAGTCGTGAATTCAAATCCCACCATCGAGATTGTAGATACGAACTGATGAAATGTACCATAATATAACAAAACAACCATTCTACACTTTCAGGCTTCCAATTGTAGTCTAACATCAATCGATTCATGATCTCAAAAAACTCCATAGTAATAAAAAAAATTGTATTCTAGGGAAATATTATCATCTGCATTATTTTATCTTATATTATATGAACTAAACATGTCTTAAATTCACTTCGTGTTGTTTTACTTGTATCTTCCCATTGTTATTTACGATTGCAACCGATCAGTAAAACAAAACCAAGTAGTTTAAAACTTCAACCCATTTCACAAGCAGGCAGCTATCAAGACTCAGTAGCTAAGTGGATAAGGCGATAGCGTTTGAAGCGTAAAATAGTGAGTTCAAGTCCCGGAGTCAATATCAACTCTGGAATGCAGGTATATCCAGCTGACGAGTCCTAAATAGGACAAAACACACGTCCTGGATTTCAATACTAGTCATTATCCATCTTTGCTTAAACATGTCTTCTTACAAAATAATAAATAAGATTCAAGTTGATTAGTTTTAACCATAAAATGAAAAAAATATATATTTAAGTTCCTTTAAGACATTTTGACAAATACTATACAATTGAAGAATAAGTATATACATATCCTCAATACACTTTTGTTCATATACTGAATGTACATATATATATATGTATATATAATACATTGGTATTCAATTTGATTATCAACTATACAACTTGAAAAGACAGATTTAATTATATAATTTTACAAAACAATTTTTTTTAAATTTCGCTCTTTTTTTTGTTTGTTTATTGTTCAAAAGTTCAAAATTATTAAACTCTACAATTTGATTATAATACATAGTGATTAAATTGTCAGAAAATCAGTAAATAAATATGGTTGCTTAGTTAAATTTCAATTATAAAATAAGAATAAACTTCTTTTCCTTTTTTCTTTCTTTATTTTTCTTTTCAAATCTCTGTTTTCAAGTGACTAATAAATATTTATTAGTATTAGAATAAGGGTTTTTCGTGCAGATTTTAGTAAATTTTTATAGTTCGATTCATGTGTCAATTGAATCTAGATCACCATGGAAAACCTGGAAGCACTCCAAAACCGTTTCGTTCTATGGTGAGACTCCTCAGTAGTGCGCATCCATAATTCTGTCTCGCGAGATTAGAATCCAAGACCGATCAGCCTTGCTGTTGAGTTGGCTTTCGGAGAACTTCAACGGAGCCTTCAGAGGCCCAAAAGGAACCGAAGAGTCCAAGCCAATCAGAGCATCATGGAGCATTCTAGAATTCCAACGTGGCGTGTTACTATCGGTCAGCAGCATAATATGTCGTTAACGGATGTTGATTTAACAAACGCTAACATCTATAAATACCCATGATTTTCTGTGCAGGAACGAACCTTGGAGTAAAGTATTTTCTCTCATACTTTGCGTCTTCTCTGTGGTATTCAGGTCGCTGTGTAGTTCCAGCTTGAGGGTTACCAGAATAGCTTAGGAAGAGAATATAGCGTTCAGTCGACAAGACTTATCATTTGCGCGAGAACGCCTAACCACTAGACTACTGAGCTGACCGGCATATAACGGTGTTAATGTCTAACTTCAACTAATCCAAGAAACTGAACGACACATTTACCGGCTCAGTGGTCTATACGTTAAGCGTTCTTACACAAGATCAATAAGTCCTGTGTTCGAATCTCGCGAGGCGTGATCGTGGATGCGCAGTGCTGAGGAGTTCCACAATAGAAAGAAATGGCCTTGGAGTGCTTACTGGTTTTCTATAATGGTCCAGCTTCAATTGACTCATAATCTCAACTATTAAAAATATTTTTTATTTAGTTAGATTTTGCTAGTGTCTAATTTGTTTAGTGACTAGTTTCAAGATGGATTTCTCAGAGTTTTAATGAGAAGCCGTTGCCATTGGAATCCAAAACACATCGGTTGTGTAACAGTTATCCACTTCAGTCAAAGGATGAAGGTTTACGTAAGATTATGGATCGGCTGAATTAAGACATTAACACCTTCGGATGCTGGTTCAGTGGTCTAGACTTTGAGTGTTTGCATGCAAGACAGAATATCCTGGGTTCGAGTTCCGTGTGACAGATCGTGGATGAGAACTGTCAAGGAGTCTCATAATAGGATGAAACGACCTTCCAGTGCTTACAGGTTTTCAATGGCGGTTGAGCTTAGATAGAATCGTGAATTCGATTAGTAAATTTAAAAAGCCTGGTTAACATTTTAAAGAACATTAAAACCAATAGTCACTAACTATTTATAAAGTTCAGAGAAATATATCATTCGACATCAAAACTGACATTGAACTTTAGTTCGACGATTTTATAAGAAATCTGAAGTTCAGTTTTTATTCATCAGCTACAGGGGTTTTAGTAAATGTTAGATTTGAGTTTGAACATTATAGACTATTGAAAACAAGTTAGGGTTGGATAACTGTTTTACACAAGTATGACACTCAGTCGTACTGAACTATGGTTTTACTGGAGAACGACAAACGATTCAGACTACTTGACTGGTGTAAGATGATTTACATTCTTAACTTAAGTAAATAGGATGATACTGTAGGACCATTAAACAATCCTGTTGGTGTTATTTGTCTCACATTCAATATGTTTAGACAATACGTTTATTAAGATGGAAAAACAATTCAATGTTAAAAGCTTTTACAATGTTTAATTCATAATAAAATAAGGGTCTTATTTCATTCATTTTTTATCAAAAAATTTTATTTTCAATAATTTTAGGTGAAGCATTATGTGATTTCTGGGTATGTTCCGATGTATTATGTTGTACAGCATCAATACTTCATTTAGTCGGTATAGCATTAGATCGTTATTGGGCTGTAACAAATGCAGAATATATTCGTCGAAGAACAGGTCGTCGAATAGGAATTATGATTGGAATATTTTGGTTTTTATCTGTATTAATTTCAATTCCAGCAAGATTTCATACTACAAGATCATATAATTATGGTGGTTATTCATCTAATTTAGATTTAAATGAACCACCAAGTTGTCGAATTAATCAAGAACATGGTTATACAGTATTTTCAAATATTGGTGCATTCTATATGCCAATGATATTTATTATAGGTATATATGCAAGAATTTATCAAGTAGCTAGAGCACGTATTAGACGTTCAGCATTTAAACAATCAGGAACAACTAATTTATGTATGAGTCAATGGAAACAGCCAAAATCTAAACAACCACAACAACCAAAACATCAGCATTCATTCAGACATCATTTAAACACATATTGGTGTAATTGTTGTCATAATTACAAAAATAGAAACTCTGTTAAATTAATTCCTACTAGAAATGATAATAATATTAATACTAATACAAATCAAGAGAATCCATCATCATCACAAGTAGCAGATACAGATTGTACAATGATTGGAAGAAAAACAATTACACATACACAGACATCAACAATAACGATGATAAATAATCAAAATACTACTACTAATAGTAATGGTAATAGTAATAATAATAATACTTTTAATAATATTCAAGTATCTATACCATATGTTGATGATATGGAAACTAAATCCAATTATTATCAATCTAATAATAATAAGAAGAAGAAGAATCCCAGTTATACTAGACCAATCATATTACATCATCGTGATAAACAAAGCCCTAACAACAATAATGATGAATACACATTGAATATTTACAAGGAGCATTGTTTATATAAACATGAAATGAAATTCAATTATAAACACATTAAAAAATCTAATTCTTTTAATAATCTTAATTCTATAATCAATTATAATTCATATAAACATACTTTATTATCTAAATATAGGAATTCAGCTCCATCAATTCTTTTACATTTAAATCATTCTAGTACATTTTTCACTGAATTAACTAATTCTAATACACAATTAATTGAATCATCTACAGAGCATACAAATTCAATGATATGGTCATCATCATCATCATCATTACCATTAACACCATCATCTTCATTTTCAGAATCATCCACTTTTCCTATAGATGATCATTATCGACAAAAAACTCTTCATCATCATAGACATCAAGATAATCATCATTCTCATAAACATCTTCATGAATCTAATACAAAACATAAACGAAATCAATTAAAAAAATCAATGAAAGATCAAAATCATTATTTCAATATACGAAGAATTTTTTCACCATGTTGTTCTACTACTTCACCATCTTCAAATCAACATATTCAATCATATCAAATGAATAAATATTTATCATATTGTTGTGTAAATAAACATAAACATTACACATTACATCACATTACGTCCAGTAATAATAATAATAATAATAATAATAATAATAATAATAATAATAATAATAATGAAGAAGGATTGTATCTAGAGTCAATAAATGAAACTTCTAACTGTACACATTCATATTATAAACAGAATACTGTTAGCCCCGCTCATACTACTACTACAATCAATAATAGTAATAATAAATATATTAGAACTGATAATCATATCTCATTGAAATCATCAAAGAATCAATTGAATGTACGAAAGAAATTACGTCATGTGTTTACTTCACATAACAATAGTAAGAATAACAATAATAATAGTAATAATAAACATATAATAACTCAATCTACATCCAATTTACCATCTAGTAATAATAATAATAATAATAATAATACAGATATATTAACCATAAATAAAAATAATAATGAGTTAAATATACCATTACATATACCACCACCGCCAACAACAACAACAACAACAACAACGCTCACTACATCATTAACATTAAATGATGAAACAACAATCATATCAAATTTAATACCAATACAACAAACTCAATTAAATCGTGAACGTTTAGAAGCTAAACGTGAACGTAAAGCAATATTAACATTAGCTATTATAACTGGTTGTTTTTTATTATGTTGGTTACCATTTTTTATTGTTGCATTAATATCACCATTTATAAATCATTTAAAAATAACAAAATTTGGTCAAAGTATGATATTATGGTTAGGTTATTCAAATTCATTATTAAATCCAATTATCTATACAATATTTTCACCAGATTTTCGTAATGCATTTAGAAAAATTTTATTTGGACGTTATAATTTACGTTCATTATCAAGATAATGATTAGTTGATTATCATACATGATCAATATAGTAGTCATGGTAATAGGAAAAAAAAAGAAGAAAAAAAAGCAAGAAAAAGAACAACAACAACAAGAAGAAAAGGAAAAAAAGAAGAGCACATAATAGAAAGTATCTATTCCTACAAAAAAAATTGGTAGGAAAAAAGCACAACAACAACAACAATAAACAAACAAACCAACAACAACAAAAATAATCGCATTCATTTTATTATGTTTCTTATGAACATTTTCATGAATTGGCTTTATGTTCATTCAGAATATTTATATTAGATATTGTCAATATGAATGATTGAATGATGATGAAAAAAGGTTATCCTTTGAGTTATTTATATTGGTTATCTTATAATTATAATTAAAACATTCCATATACCATATTTTCTGTATAGAGATAATTAAAAGTATCCTATGAAGTGATACCCTATAGTTCATATGTTAAGAGTTTATGATTGATTATAAACTAATATTATCTCTCCAACTACTAGTTGAATTTCAATTTATATGTAAACTTTTGAAGAAGAAGAAGAAGAAGAAGAGAAAGAAGAAAAAGAACAATGTAAATGTGTCTGTTTTGCCCTGTTTACACAATTTTACATATATACATGTATTTTTTTAGCTTTTCCACGCCTTATTTCAATGTATGCATATATTTATAAGGATCTCTCCCTCTCTCTTCCCCCCCTCTCTCTCTCTTTCCCTATATCTATATATAAAGCAATGTAATTTTCCACAGTATATGATATCATTGTAAAATGCAAATGTCTGGTAATTTCTTTATTAACTTGTTAATTGTCGTGAATTGTTTTCGTTTTCTTTTTTCTACAAATAAAATAAACACAAAGATTTATGGTCAATTGAATTAGTTTGTTATATGTTGTAGTAAATGAGAACATAATTGACGGATAATTGAATGTATCAGAAGGGGTTTTGTGGAGATTGGAGTAATTTCAACAGTTGAAATCATGAGTCAATTGAAGCTGGACAAACATGGAGAACGTGGGAGCACTGGACGGCCGTTTCGTCTTATCCACGACCTCGCCTCATGGGATTCGAACCCAGGGCATATCAGCCTCGCACTAGGCGCTTAACCAACTAGACCACTGAACTGTCATCCAACGGTGTCAATTGAATGTATTTAAGCACAAAATGACAGAATATTTTAGTAAAATTTGAGAATCATACAGTAGATACTTAATTAGTGAAATATCGATTGCTTTCTGTTCTCGTTCCTTCCTCTTTGATCTTCTAGAACTTCTGCTGCCAGACATTCTATTCTTGAATAGAATTATATACTACTTATTGTCGATATGACTATCACACAACACTGTTTATATTTTAATTATGTTATTTTTATTCATCAAGTGTCTGTCCAGAAAATTCAAATAATTTAAATGTTAGTATTTAGGCTGTAAGCAATTTGTTCTATGACTATTCCTTAAAAATGATCGTGAACATTTTATATGAAATTAGGCTTGTCAGTATTGATACTTATGAAATGTCCCATTTTTGTGGATATCTTTAATTCTACATTTCTTGAAACATTTATGGAGGTTTCAATTCAATTTGAAATGATCTGTCTTATAGCGTTGTCAATAATTTTGACTGAAATTTCATCAGTCTTGATTGGCATATGTGTATCATAAGCGAATTGTCTTGATAAAGCCATTATGGCCCCATGTGATATATAATAAAACAAAATCCAAATCATCTAAAAATGAACTGAAACTAATACTCGTTGCACAAGTGAGTGACTATCTGAAATCATTCACTAAATGAATAATTCACGTTCCTTTTGAGTTAACCGTGAAGGGTACGAGTATCGTGCTAAAAAACAAGCTGATGAATCTCAAACAGGATTAAACGAGCCTTCTGAATCCGATTGCTAGCCAAATTCCGTCTATTCTGTATCAGTTTTTGAGAGTATTCAGAAGATGATCTATTCAGTTTCTTCATTGTTCTGTGTTTTGCTCGTCTTTAAATATCTTGATAAAATTTTGATGGGCTAACAGAGAACTATTTTCTTCAACACATTGTATGTATGAATATTGGTCAAGGCTTTCTGGGTTTCTTAAATGGTTTTCTCATTTTTTTATAAAGAAATAGCATGTGAATATGGAGTTTACATTGGAAACTTTAGGGTATGCCTGAATCAAAAAATGACTTTTACATACGCCATTAATGTTGTTTACTGTACAAATAAACTCATATGTTATCAAGTCGCCTTATTTATATGCACAAACTCAAAAATGATAGTGATATTTATAAGATCAGTTCGCAACCATTGTTTCATTGCAAAAAGAAATATTTTGTTGTTACCTCACGTGGGTACCTGTGATTGAATGATAATAAAGTAATACAGTAAATATCTGAGATATTCATCCTTCCTAAGGGCATAGCATCAATCGTAAGTACATCATTTTATAGTCAATTCTACAGCCTCAACAGTTTGATTTCGTCAATAATAATCAGTATACAATATTGTAATGGAATAATTACGGAGCTCTTGTTGTTGTACTGAACATCTTATGATGATTATGAAAGTTTCAGAATTTAACCACTAGCCATAATACATCATATACATGATTAATATAGACAATACAATGAGTTGAAGTTTATCAGAAATATGTGATGCATTATCACAACATTTAGAACGATCGGACACATATTTATATGTCTCTATAGTTTTCATCACAGACTGATATTAATTATATAACCGTTGGAAACCAGAAAGCCATCTCTTCCTTGTATGAAACTTCACAGCAATGCGCATCCACGACCTCCCCACCAGTGATCGAACCAAGGACATTTAGGTCTCTAGCCTAAATATCGGACAACTGAGCTGATATTGAAGGTACAAGTTTAACTTTAGTCATTTCATGATATTACGCGAATATCTTCCATTAACTTCGGTGGATAACCGTTTCACACCCAACATGGTTGAACTTTACGATTCATAACCTATCACTCTAGCTGTGAGATATAATTCTCACAATTAGTCACTAGTGAACACATCGCTATTATTAGCACGCAGGGTTGCGACTGTTCAGTTTCAAAAATCCACATTCAAAGCTTTCTCGTTCTCGATGTTTGTTTAACCAAGATCAATCCATAATGTAAGCTATAAAGATTCAACAAACTTCACGATCCTCTTTATATGTTTTTATTTGGCAAATAAATGTCGAACTAGACAACATGAATCATGCAACTATGAACAATAAATCAATAGTATCGGACTAGATTTAATGTAACTATGAACTGTTTAATCATCCAGAATAGCATGATGCATATTGTTTCTCATATTATCTAGTTATTTTCTTAACTTCCAATCCATCTAATGTTACTTTTATTTTTTATATAAAAATGTTTGAACAAGTTGATTACTTATTCGATTATTGGCAATGTATTAGACTAATAGACCACACAGTTCTGTTAAACTTTGTCTGATAAATTTATCAAATTAACTAACTGTTTTAAAATGATTCATATACCCTAGGTAAATTGTGAATTGCTAGTGATTAAATTGAATTTCATGTTAGCAACGTATGGGTTTAAATTTCACCATTATTGTTGTTAAGGACTGTGAGTGATCTGTTACTTTTATCATTTGTACATCCTGTGCGGGTTCCTTCGATATTGTTATCAGTCACAAGTTTATGTAAACAGAGACGGATAGTGGTAGTGATGGGATCTGAGACGCGCATCTCATCTTGCTTAGAACTCATCAGTTGGATTTACCTGCATCCCAGTCTTGATGTTCATTTCGGAACTCTAATCCATTACCTTTTGTTTCAAATGGCAATGAGTTGTCTATTTAGTTAATGAATCCATACAAACACTAGCTTGTGCCACACAGCTGAATTATAATTCAGTTGAAAGGGTTTGACTTTGTTTATTGTCTGTATCAGGACAATATCGAAGTTATCCACATAGGATCCACATATACTTAAAGGAACTGATTATTTCCAGTATTCGCGCGGGTGATAACTTATTAAGAATGATTAAAGATCAATGGATAATATACTGTTATTTCAACAGTTTAACTCAATGGTTACTCATAATCTAGAAAGGTATTTTACTGAGAAGTTCATTACACGTGGTGATTACAATAAAGCTAACCTTCAACTAATTTACAATTTATTGTGATTAGGATGTAGTAACAATGTTGAAATCATTCTTATTCTCAACAAGATTAAACTTCATCAGTAGTTCAATCTATAATTTATTCATATATTCTTGATAAATTGTTTGTAAGAATTCTATTCAACATTATGGTCATGTTTCAACACAGAAAGTATTCAATGTGATTAACACTCTACCATCTTTACAGATAGTGCTGGAAATGTAATCCATAGGATTCTAACATTTAATTTGAAAGTATCAAGCTTAATGTGAATTTTTATCATTTTTAATTTAATCATGTCAAAAGTTATTAATGAAATTTGCTATTAATTGTATAACTAGGAGCGAATAACTATTTTATTATTATTATTTGAACATATAGATATTGGTGCAAAGAGGCATCAAACAGATATGCGCCACACAAATCTCATTTGATATGTGTAAAGACTGTGATACTGCCCAGGTGCCCAAACCGAAGCAGGTGGTTTTCTTAGGGGACCACATCCGGAGCCTTCGACCTGAAGGTCTGATTCACAAGGTAGTGGAGCATCGTAAGGAGACACAGTCCCATGGAAGCCGGTGACCAACGATTGGCTCATACGCAATTGGTTCCCTCAGGATACTGGAGCCTATGTGTACCATTGGTTTGGAACCAGGGTTATCCAACTCCCCTAGGTGGAATCTCCATGTCCACCAACCCCATTAAAGCATCGGGCATTCGATTTTCGTCCTCTCAATTTCGTAAACAACACTCGTGATACGAGAAGGCAATGAGTAGGACTTCCCTGGCAGAGGATTTTCAAACTCCCAGTTTAGAAAAAACAATGTGAAATTTCAATATTTTAATTGTGTAGTTTTAGTGCGAAATTCAAATGTCATGTATTGCAGGAAGTATTGGTATTTTAATGTGCTGCTTCAGATGTTTGAAATGATTGGGAAGAATTATCGTTCCCAGCTTTAAATTAAATATAATGGTGTTAAATATATCAAGTACTTAATTCTACTTTTATAGATTGTATATACCAAGGAATTCGAAATTATCCCTAAATCTTAACCGTTAATCTTTAAACAAACCTAAACCTAGTGGTACTTAATCTTATGGACAAAATCCTTAGGTAGCTCCTCTTATATTTTCGAGTTCAATTTATTGATTAATATGGCTACAGGACATATTGCATTGTGGCTGA